GCCCCTGACCCCCCCTCTCTCCCCGCAGCGAGGAGAAGGCCGAGGAGAACCTGCAGCGGCCGCCCAAGGCCAAGAAGGTGAAGAAGGAGCGGAAGGAGCCGGAGCCGGCGCAGCCCGCGGCCGAACCCGCCGAGGCCGGCAAGGCCGAGAGCTCGGAGGGGGCCGGGGCGGCCCCCGCGGCCCCCGAGGCGTCGGCGTCGCCCAAGCAGCGCCGCTCCATCATCCGCGACCGCGGGCCCATGTACGACGACCCCACGCTGCCCGAGGGCTGGACCCGCAAGCTCAAGCAGCGCAAGTCGGGGCGCTCGGCCGGCAAGTACGACGTCTACCTGATCAAGTGAGTGCCGGGGGGGCTCGGGGGGGGGGATTTTGGGGGGTCCCACTCGCCGGTGCTGATTTCCCCTTTCCCTCCCCAGCCCGCAGGGAAAAGCCTTCCGCTCCAAGGTGGAGCTGATCGCCTACTTCGAGAAGGTGGGGGACACGTCGCTGGACCCCAACGACTTCGACTTCACGGTGACGGGGCGCGGGAGCCCCTCGCGCCGCGAGCAGCGACCCCCCAAGAAACCCAAATCGCCCAAGGGCCCCGGGACGGGCCGCGGCCGGGGGCGGCCCAAGGGCAGCGGCGGCTCCCGGCCCAAGGCGGCGGCGACGGGGGCGGCGGCCGCGGCCGCGGCGGCCGAAGGGGGGGGTTCCCAGGCCAAGCGGGCGCTGGAGAAGCCCCCCGGGAAGCTGCTGGTGAAGATGCCGTTCTCGCCGGGGCAGCCGGGCCCCGCCGCCCCCCCGGCGCCGCGGCGGCCGGGCCGCAAGCGCCGCGCCGAGCCCGACAGCCCGGCCGCGCCCAAGAAACGCGGCCGCAAACCCGCGGGAGCCGCGGGGCCGGGGGGGCCCGGCGGCCCAGACAAGAAGGCGGCCGCCCCCCCCGCCGTGCAGGAGACGGTGCTGCCCATCAAGAAGAGGAAGACGAGGGAGGCGGCGGCGGCGGCGGTGGTGGAGTCGTCGTCGGCCGCGACGGCGGCGGCGGCTTCGGCCGCGACGACGACGACGGCGGCATCATCGGCGCGGCCCCCCCCGACCCCCCCCCGGGCCGCGGGGCCCCCGCAGCGCCCGCAGCCCCGGCCGGCGCAGCAAGGAGGGGAGTCCCAAGG